TATTTTTCAGATCATCTTTTCACGTACATCGTTGTATATGTTTAACTAATAAAATTAGTGGCTCATCAGATAAAGGACACTCAATTACCTATATTAAATATTTTCTCAAATATTTAGAGCATTGTATTGAAAACAGAATGACTTAAAAAATAAATACAAATAGGGCTACTTTATCTGCAGTAAAATGTTACATATTTCGTCTCCTTACTTTTTAAAATGGTTTAGATGAAAAACTGAGGAGACATTCGGGATGAGTGCGATGAATCCTATATTGTGGCGTGTATTTTGCACAAAAATAAAAGAAAATAGTTTTTCAAGTTTCTGAGGGCTGGAGACAGGGTACAAATAAGAAGAATCTCGATGAGAAATAAAGAGAAATGAGTATGCTTAAATTATTGTCCATAATTGACTTATTATCTCCATGTGTTTTTTTTTTGAAAAACTAGATTTGCCTATATCACTTTTAGAAGATAATTCAATGAAATGGCGAAGTGATATAACTTCAAAAGACGTTGCACACATCAATTGAGTAGAATTTTCGTTCATAATCCAGTTCTATGAGCTGTTTTGTATATGGAAATGTCTTAATTTCAGCATTATTAGGTCAAGAAATATGTGAATAGCGATTTGAAATTTGTTTTCAAACGTTTAAAACATTATATCAAGTTGGTAGTTAGTCAAAAACAAAGAGTAACGTGCTTATTGACTCAGAGTCTAATTTCTTGGACATTCACTGTTCTCATTTATCGAAATAGTTTAAACAAAGACGAAGATGATATTCGTGATTAGCACCGTTAACTCTATGACTTTGGCATTTGTTTGGCTCAAAACAAAGAGAAAAATAAATTTCAAGTACGAAAAAGCTTGCTATCAAATAAAAGTGAATAAACATGCACATGATGTTGTTCATGGTTGACTTATTATCGTGACGTACTTTTCGTTTGCAGATATTTTGGAGAGAAAAATGTTCTTATCCAATCTTCGTTCTAGCTTAACTGGGGGGTAATTGTTAGATTTTTCATTCGGACAAATTTTCTGCTGCTTTCTTAGCATATTTGTCGAGTATATATATCTAAAAACCATTTACCAACTAATTATTATACATTTTTATGAAAGTTTCAAGACTAAATATTTTTCTCAGTTTTCTTCTTAAATGTTTAGGTATCATATCTTTTATGAAATGAAATTTGGATTGTAGAATTCACTAATCTAAAGAATAAAATCATTTTTTTTTTTATTAATTTTAATTTGAAAGACCAAAATATCTTTCAGTATTTGAGGAAAATTTCTTTTAATAACCGTTCTTGACTTCTGGTAGAATTGAACGAAAAATTAGTATTAAAAAAAGTAGTTTAATTGTATTAAAGAAGTAGAAACGAAAAAAAACTTTTGACATCATATTTAGTCCTCCTTAAACTTGATTTTGTTTTTTTTTTCTTTATAAAAAGAATTAGGAAAGTGTTTCAATATTCAAATATCATTATATTCCTAATATTATATACAAAAAACAGTACATGATTAAACAAGATCTAATAAAACCTAGCATGTCTCAAATTTTTTGTATCAATTCACAACTTTTTTATTTCAGTAATCGAAACTATTATATAGAAAATGTTCTTAAAATGACTATACCAACGCTATATACGAAACTATATCCATAAAACAGCAGTACTGAAAAAAGAAACTACTTTGAATGTAAAAAATCCGTCAAATTTGTACATAATCTTAAGTCTCACTCTCATTTTATTCTCACATTTCTATTGATTGTTCTGTATGCACATTATCTCTCTTCTGTTTACATTTGAACATTCATTTATTTGTCATTCTTTGGTTTTCTTATTCAATATGTAGGAAATGTTTTGATGTAAATTTTCTACTATTTTTCAATTTATATACTACATAAAAGTCTATTCTATCTGCACTTTGAAGAAATTATATTTATATAGGTTTTCTTTTTTCTTATATTGTATTATCAAAATTATTTTTTAATAAAAGACTATTTAAAATGATTCATTATTGAAACAATTCAACATGTGCCATGTTTCAGATTTTAATAGATTTTTTTCAAATCTATGATTGTTATGCACATAAATGATAAAGTTTTATTTGCAGCTATTTTTGACTATGCATAAACATAAAATAGAGACAAAAAAAAACATGTCACAAAAAAGTTGCATTGATGTTTCATAGATGGAAAGACAATTGTCTACAACACGAAAAAAACTAAAAACATTAAAATTTGATTAATTTATATATCTATCTTTCATTTTTAACGCAATCTCTCAATGAGAAGCATCTTTATGCTATAATAAAAATTAGCAAGCTTACTTTGAGCAGTTTTCCATCAAATTCTTATTACCAAAAGTTATTAAAAACATCTACTAAAATAAATGAAATGACGAAACGAAGCATAAATAATAATATTAATAAATCATAAATATAATAAAATATCATCTTCTATTAATACTAAGCTTTCATCATCTACAATAAATAGAAAAAGCATTGTAAAACAAGACTAAATACTTGGTAATGTTTGTAAACGATAGTTTAAGTAAGACACTAAATATTTACATCTGCTTTTAATAATAATAGAAACAACAAAGAAAATGAATTCCATTGCTGTTAATAATTTTCACTGATCATTTCATCCTGAAATAAATGTTCTATTAATCAATCTTACTTCAAAACAACATTGACAGGAGCAGATAAAATTTCCTTCATCCGATTTCAACAAAAATCTCAAATTGTTTATTCATACAGATTTTTACTACATATTATTGTTAGATTAACGGAAAAATAATAAATTTTGCACAATAAAATGTATCAGACATTATTGTTTATACTTCTGCATATGATAACTTTTTCCATCTGTAAGAAAAAGCATTACGAAATCGATACGAGCAATAGAAATGATAATCTATACTTTCCTATATAATCGTTTGACTCCCAAAAAAAAGACTTTTTTCTAAAACTAAGTGTCATTTTTCTACTGATCACTCGTACAACCCTTGCTGCTATCCTTCCACCCATCTATGTATTTTGTCATTCGTTGAAAGAATTCCAGAATGTCAGCAGAGTATTACAAAAAAGAAAATTTTGTCATTTCGATATTATTTTCCATTACTAATATCATTGTATCGATCTGTTTTGTAACAATATGTGTCAGCAAAAAAAACCACATCTTATCGTTCGTCGATAGTTCCTGTTTTCTCTCCGTTCGATGCAAACTCTAATTATTTGACTGAATATACAACAGGAACATTATTTGATACATTTCCATCAATCTAAAGTACGAATACTTATGTCAGTACTTATACGTTAATTGTCACATCAAATTCTTAACAATAAGTTCAAAATCTATATTTTAATATGCTTAAACAAGTTTTAACTTTCATATATGGCTTAATCTTGAGTACGACTAGTCAAATTGTCTACGAAATATTTGATCAATGTGTTTGAAATTCAAATTTAATGTGTGAGTGGATGAGGATGTATCCATAAGAATGACATGATTAATAACATATATTTATCAAATATACTTTAAATGTTCTACTGAAATAATTAAAAGTATAAATTTAGAAAGTAAAAACATGATCATGAAGCGTCATATTCTATAATTATAAACAAGAGACAGTCTCTAATGCGTTCGTTCATACATTTTCAAATAGAACATGAATTTTTACATATAAAAACCTACTTTTTCGAATTTTCAGTGACCAACGAAAGCTAGAAGAGGCTCTAAACTGTGTTTTTACATAAAACTTCGAACCCAACAAGGCCTTGCCTATGCTTCAACGTTACATTTCTGAGAGTTCTCATGTAGATGTTTTCTATCAACATGGTCAACTTGATCATACAAAAAATGTCTAATAATTGAATTTTGAAAAAAATTTTCCACCTATTCCACTAGGGAGGTGCAGGAGTCTGAAATCACAAAGTCATCTAATGATAAATAACTGTGCTAGAATGGTAGCTTGTGCTGAGCTTGTACTGATCATATGGTGATTACTGGAAAATTTTGTGCGTCGAAAAATGGCTTTGTCAATCTTCGTGTTTTATAAAAAAAACAATCAAAACAATTTTCATATGTATATATTTGCCATTTTAAAAGATCTGATTAATTTATTGTCACTAAATGATGTATACAAAACTCATGTACAAGTTTTACATTACAGAAAGATATTCTCTTATTAGTTAGACCTTTGTTTCTTTCAATGTGGTTCCACTTGTATTAAAATGGATCTACAAAACAATCCTTTAGACTCTGTATTTATTTTCAAATGAAGTATTCTTCTCTATAATAGAAGAGAACATGTATTTACAAACTTCTAAGCGGTCATGAGTGAAAAAGGGGCGGAATTTAGTTAGTATGTAAATTGATTTCATAAGAGAAGAAAAGAAGGTAATGTTATCGATATGTTATATTTTATGTCTTCTTTCATCTTCATGTACGATTAATTATGAAAATTAAATAAAAACCAATTCTTTGTAGATTATTGATTTCTATAAAGTTGAAGAAATATATTCAATTATACAGTATTCTATAAATAATCTCTATTCGATAAAATTTTCTTAATAAATATTCAAATAAATTTTGATATTTAAATTAATTCATTAAGAAATTCTATCATACTGAATTCATAAAACTAACTATTCATTGAATTTCTACATGAATTCGCTTATTATGTTAGAAATATTCATTTCTTGATTTTATTTAAAAGAAAAACTCTACCAGGAGAATAATACATCGAAAAGACATTTAAGGACGAATAGATTTCAGAGATTAAAAGGTACATCGTAAAATAAATTTTGTGCTACATAAAAAACTAATTACATTGGATAATAATACTATAAAAATAGAAGAATATATACGATTTCATCATGATTTAATCATATTGTTTACAAACCGTAAAAAGAGAAGTATAATATGCTTTTGTATTCGTCGATTCATTTTTTATTATAAATACAGAAGAGTAGTTTGGTCCTAAAAATACACAGGTATGACTGAAGTTAAAAGACTTCTACTTAAAAAACAACCGCTATTATCTTTGGTGCCACGTTCAACAGTCGTTGGGCCTCAACAAGTATGACACTACCAATATAAGATTTAATCATATGAGTTTTTTTCATTTAGGTGAAACCATTTTTTTATAAAGAATCTATTCCTTCTACTTTAAATAGTAAGAAAACAATATCTGAACCTCGACAATTTGTTCTATCTCAACAAAAATCTTTGGAATCGTCGCCAACAATTGCAACAACGGTATTAAGCTCTATTGATAGTAATGATACAAAAAAGACAAATAGAACATCAACTCCTGCTCTGGACAAACCTTCTTCGCCGAAATTTAATGAGATAAAAAGTCAAAAAATAAAACAACAACCACGTAATGATTCTAATGGATGTCTTAAGTAAGTTAATTGATATTTTCATCTATGTAATATGATAAAACTATAATTAATCGATATAAAGTCAAATCAATTTTTTTTCATCAAGGAAAGTGTAACAAATGACTTTGGAAGCAGAAATGGGATCGGTTCAGATTTTTCGAAAATTTAAATCGAACTGGAACCAAAGTTGATTTGAGATACTTCGAACCGAACAGTAACCGAGATCGGTTTGATAAGCTACGAATCGAATCAGTCCTATTTCTACTTGGAAGAACACATTCGTAGATGATGGATGAAGTTTTCTTTTTATGTTTGTGAAAGAGCAAAGAGAAAAATATCGAAGGTTATCATGGATAATTTGCTAATCCTGAGATGATTTTCATCCGAACACGTAGAATTTGTCAGCAGCGTAACGGGTCATCCCATAAAGGACGTCCAAGTAAAGAACGGAGGAGAGTCCGTCAAAACTGGACAAATTTAGACGAAAGGAAGAAGAGTCAAACATTTCTGGACGTCCAGACATTTAACATGCATATTTTCCGTTGTCTTCCACACGACTTTCAGCGAAATTTTCAAAGTTTGTTTGTTTTCAAGAGTATTTTTAAATAGAAAATCAGTTGAATATGAATATGATGTTGAAATAATTCAAGATTATGCTACATGAGCAGATAGTTATTTTGTGAAATAGTTATATGAGATTTTTGAGTACTATTGGTATTGAACTTCATTCTGTGTTCTTACTACAATCTGCGCATTAAAGTACAATGTATGTAAAAAACAAAAATTCTACATTAGATTAGATTTTTGTTTGTTGTTTATACGTTGTATGTTTATTCATTTCTATTTTTGATATATTTATTTAATGAACTGTTATTTAAAAAAAAAGAAGCAGTATATTTGAACCAGCAGACTGTTTTAGAAAGTTTCTTTTTTATACTGGACGTTAGAGCTCGTCGAGTTGGTTCCGGACCCGGTCGAGTCCGACTCCAAGAATTTTGAACCTGATGAGCTCTAGTCATCTAAGAAATGTGCAGGGTGCACTAGTCACCGAATACAAAAACCCGAAAAAACAGCATCTCACATCTTCGAAGTGACTATCAGATCCTCATTAGAAAATTTCATTGAGAGTATCAAAATATGGTTCGACCGGATTCGAGTCTCAAAAACGTTCAATAAACCGAGTTCAGATCCAAAAATTTGGGACCCGACTGACTCCACTAGACATCCAAGAGGGAAAGAGGAAATCAAAAAATGTGATTTTTATGTGGGCGTCTTTGATTGATGACCATCAACATTGAAATTTCAAATTGTTAGAAAAACTTCATATTCATTAGCAAAAAAAAAATACTTGATTAACTATTTTTGTGATTAATTAAACCAATAGATGTTGGTCTAAACTAATTAATAGCATACTAATGAAAAGTTCAAGCTGTTAGAAAGAGTAATTCAATATTGATATGTTTTCTTGGCAAGTATTTTTTAAAAAATTCGACGTAATACAAATTTATCAATATCGATCTATCATGTAGACGGTTTTGAAAAATTGATTTATCTTAATTTGGTTAACTGTATTTACTTCTTTACTAAATATATTTGTCTCTTGATCTTTTGTCATTTAAAAACAAAAGATGGATAATTGTCACTTATAATACAAATGATTGTTTCTTTTTTGTATAGTCACTTGACTCCAAAACAAAAGACTGTTTTAAAACTAACTATTATTTTTCTGCTGATCATTAGCGCAGCTCTTGTTACTATTATTCCACCTGTCTATGTATATGTCATTAGTCGAACAAATTCACAATGTAAGTAAAGAATTAGAAAACGAAAATTATTAACAATATTTTACGATTTCGATATTAGCTTCATTTACTAATATCACTCAATCGATCTGTTCTAATACAACATGTATTGGTCAAGAAACATCTTATCGTTCTTCGATGGTTACAGTTCTCTATCCTTTTGATGGCAATTCAAATGACTTAACAGGATATGCAACAGGACTACCATTGGGTTCTTCTACACCTGGATACACTACCAATTCTTATGTTGGTAGTCAAGCATTAAGTCTCAGTTCTTCTTCTCAATACATTCTAATTCCAAATGTTGATTTGGCTCAACGAAGTTTTACTATACAAGTTTGGTTGTATCCAACGAGTTCTCCCATATTAGGTGACTATGGAATATTTGGTCAATGTGATTCAAATTCAAAGTGTCTTTCAATCAGTTTAAGAAACGCTCGTTTTACACTTTCTTTTAATTCGATGAATACTAATAGTACATTAATCGGTTCAAGAATAATTTCAAACCAAGATTGAACACATTTAACAGTTGTTTATGATGCAGTATGATATCAACAACAAATCTATGTCAATGGTCTTATTGATGCTGTGTCGAATGGTATTGTTGCTCCTTATCAAGGAACTTTATCAGGATTAATAACAACTATTGGAAAAAGTTCATCATCAGCTTATGGAACATCCTATTTTCAAGGGTAACGAAAGCAACTTTATTTTCAATAACATCTGTACTATAAAAAACTAGTTGTACTTTTATAGTCAGCATTGTTAAAGATTTTGCTTCTAACATTCTTGTTAAGATTTTCGTACTTTGATCATTTTATTGAAAATAATTAGTAGACTTACGAAAAATATAGCTAGATCAAAGTTATGAAAAATAAAAAATTTATATGGATGTACATAGAGCAAGAAGAAGAGAGCACAATTCGAGTATTTCGAAGTATGAGTGAAGTACAAGTGAAATAATGAATAACATCCTTCAAAACATGTATCAAATTGAATATAATTTTCATATATAATTCTAAAAGATTATCTCGAATATACGCTACTAATTATTTGTATTTTTTTTTTGCGACTATGTATCCATGTATTATTGTCTGTTCTCATTACTATTGAGCGTTCAATTAGAAATATTTTTGTCCGTGAAAATTATAATTGTTTTCAAACAAACATTTAAGTGATCTTTATATAATAGTTTCTCAAAATTGGAATGCGTGTTTTTTTTTTGGTATTATGACAATTTGTGGAATTCGAAATATAAATATGCTAAACTCTATTTACAAAATTCTAGACGAATTGATCATTTTATAATATCAGCTGGTGCTGTTCGAAGTACTTGTCAGATTTATAATGACGCAACATTGACAGCCTATTATCCATTTAATACAGTTGATACATTCAATGATTATAGTGTTAATCTCTTCAATGGAATAGCATCAGGTACAACTACGATATCTCAAGGATATTTTGGACAAGCTCTATATTTTCCATTAAATACGAGTTATTTTCAAGCAGAATGTTTTCCATCCATAGAAACATCCAATCCACCATTTACATTTGCACTTTGGGTCAATCCAGCTACACTTACGGGTGGAGGTTCACTTGTTCATGTATCGAATTTACAAACTGGCAATGGAAGTTCCTGTTATGATCTTCTTGCTTTTACATCGACAGGCTATTTAGTAGTTCAATGGATGCAAAATTCTGCAACTGTTCATAGTATTAAAGGTCCAATCTTGCCAGCAAATAAATGGACTCATGTGACTGTTGTATTTGAAACATCGAATGGTATGCACCTTTATATTAACGGACAATTGAATGTTGTTTCCACAAATACTTCAAGCTTGACCACATATACCATTACTGATCCACAATACATTACATTGGGTAATAATAGTCCATTGGGTCCATCTATATCGCTGACTTGTCGAAATGGACCCATACCGATTGTATCAGGAGCATTTACAGGTGCCATAGATGAATTTCGCATATATAATCGAGATTTATACAATCAAGAAATCTGTGTACTTGCTAATCTTTAACAACATATCTGCCTCTAAATACGTTTTCTATTGCAAGAGAAATGAATTTTTTTTTGTAGTCTGAAATTATTTTTTCTGCAAAAATCATTTTATTAGTTGTGCTTTTTTTGTGATTTACAGAATTGATTGTTCCTTTTAGTTATGCATATCTGAAAATAATATTGTTCGAAAGAATTGAAATATATACAGATAATTCGTCTCGAGAACGAAGAATAATTTAGCCTTCAGACGAATAAAAATTAGCTTCTCGGTGAATTCTGCTACATGTGAACTGCTAGCAGAACTCTACATACATAAATTCCGTAGACTACATAATTGTGACGAAAGCACTGTGTAATACATATGATGAGGTTTAACCATTAGCTGTTGTTAATTAAATAGTCATCATTCATATTCTTAAATGAATAGTATAAAAAAACCAAGGTCTTGATAAATCACAATATCAGAGATATCCATCGTGGTGCCGGCACTAAATGCAGGCTTTTAAAACAATCACGATGACACAAGAGGTATTTTATCAGTACCATCGTGGCACTAGCAGCTTTTTTCTTAATGGTGTTATAAAATTAAATGAATTTGTCCGAAATTTCAGTGTTCATAAATGTAACATACTGCAGTTTGATGAATTTCATGAATTAGTAGGAACAGTTCTAATTCAATACAGAATATCATCGCGACAGCTACAACTCATTTAATTACCTATCGCAGCACGGTAGAATTAATTTTTGAGCGTGGCAGGCTTTCAACTGTAATTGACACCTCTGCTATACATTCTCACTAGATAAAGAATGTCTGAAAGGATACAGATTTTTAAAAAAACTAATCAGCAAATGCGATGTATTTTCTGCATTAGCGACCATTTCCTTGAAAAAATTGTCCTGACGTAATTCAATGTAATAGTCTCGATTTTTTATATTATACGTCTTTCTTCGTTGCTATCGTTGTTGTTATTAATAGAAAATCATATATTGACATGTACATTTAATCACATGAAATCGAGTATGTGCTATTGATAAGAGATTGCTGATCTTTTATAGAATTCAAGTAAAAAAAAAGAATTTGTTTGAAGAAGAATTTTTCGATATATTAAGACTTATAAAAGATATATGGTTTTCAATAGTAAAGTCAATGCAATTGAGTTGAATTTAATTCAACATGATAGATCGGTAGAATATCAATCAAGGGGGAAACGGCGGACTTGAAGTAGAAAAGTACGTCAAAGTACGTCAAAGTAGACTACTTGAAGTAGCTCAAAGTACCACCCAAGTAGCCCAAAGTAGGAACAAATAGCTTAAAGTAACTTCAAGTAACTTCAGGTAAATTTGAAGTTGAAAAATACTTCAAAGTAAGCTACTTTAAGTAGCTGAAAATAACTTGAAGTAGCTTAAAGTAGCTCAAAGTAACTTCAAGTCCAAAAGTCCGCCGTTTCCCCCTTGATATCAATCGATCAGTTTACGGATGATCTTTTTCAATCACAAAAGAAATCGTATTAAAAAGTCAACTTTCTTCATGTTTAAGCAGACAGTCAGTTAAACTTTTTGATAGAAAAGAATTAACTCAGAGCTCTCTCCCATCCTTAAATTTTGACTCTGGTCCTGCTGACAATTCTTATACATTGACAGCTGTTAATCATCAATTTTAGATTTCTTGTCATAATGAGATATATTGAATTGTATACATAAAATTATGCATGTTGATTAAAGTGCATTAGTATTTGTATTCGTTTTTGTCAACGAACCAATTTATTTATTTATTATTTTGTTCTGACATAAAAAACACAAACAATGGAACAAACTTTTTAGTAACGATCAATAATGAACTTCAACATTTGGAAGTTAATACGACAATCAATAGATATAGCGTTTTTTGTTATATTTTATACTTTGTTTCATTCCTTCCTCTCGTTTTTGTTCTGCTTGCCAGATTTTATATATTGGCATGTAGGATTAATCATAAGAAATCAAACAGGTGGAATTCATTTGAAATTGTTGAATATAATACAATGAATTGGTATTAAGAAATATGTTTTGGCTGACTGAGACTGACCTTAGTTTTAAAAAATTTTTCACTTTCTTTTGTCTCAGAAGTATTTGAAGAGAAAAATAAGGACATTTTTGGAAATAGCACGAAAAATTGAATAGAATAATATGTTGTTTGTTCATTTTTAAAATAAAAACTTCTCCGACAAATGTATAGGGTAAGAGCCCTTTCATGCCTTTACATCGAAAGTCTTCTTGTACAAATATCATTTTTCTCCTATCAATCTTTTTATTGAGTACTTGAAATTGAAAAAAAAAATGCATTTTTTAACAGAAAATACGCCGTAGCCACTAGTTCTATAGAACTTGTCTATTGTGCACTAGTCATAGTAGAGTAGATAACATTGAGAGTAAAAACCATTATTCTGAAATGATCGTTAGATATTATTGTCATGACTTTTCATATTTCGATAATTTTTATTCTTGCTTTCCTTTGATAAATTTTCAAAAACAAATCAAAAAATGTATTCTATTGAAATTTACCTCATTCCGAATTTATCAAGAGTTCTTCATATTGATTAGTATGATTGACATGCATTCCTAGACTATAGATAATCGTTCATTTTCAATGTCTTAAGATTTGTTACAAAACTAAAAGGCATTACACATCATGTCGATAAAACAAATCATGTGGCGCACTCTATCTGTCGCGTTAATATCAAGACGTTGTTGTTTATTTGCTGGTCTGTCTCGCATCACAAAAAAAAAACAAAATAATATATCCGAACATCTTATTGTCGAACAAAAGAGAAAAATTTTCATTTGTCATCGATCTTTGTAAGTAAATATATATATATAAATTAATGAATTTTTAAGAACAATTATTTCATTTAGATTTGTATTCATTTTTTCTTTGAATTTGAATGAACTATGAGTTTTAATTTGACTGCAAATCAAGCTTCACAAGGTGCAAATTATGCTGGACGAGCAATGAATGCATTTCAAACGGCTGTTAATATTGATAATCAACAGCCTCAAGCTGAAGGAACAACATTTTGGTTTCGTTGGTTTATACGAGTTGTTGCTGTTGTTTCTGGAATTCGTAAATTTTCAAAACAAAAATATTATTATTTCATTTAATTATTGTTTTTCTTTTTCTTCTATTAGTTGCAATGATATGTGGGCTTTTTGGAGCACTGAGTCTATCACCATCCTGTATAATTGCTGGTATTATAATAATGTTCGTATATATATATATATTTTTTTTTTTCGTAATATGATAAGATTTGATTTTTCCATTTATCAATTAGATTTCTTGGCTTTGCATTAATTATGTTTGAAGTACCAATTTGTTGTCAATTCGTACAATATACACAACCGATGGCACAATTTTCTGAACAACGTCCATCATGGCAAAAGGCTGTACTTTATTCAGTGTATGTTGTGAATAAATAAAAATAATATTTTTTGAGTTTTTATTATTATTTAGACCACCTCTTGTACCTCTTATGTTATGTCACTCAGCAACTATTGTATTTGGTTTTATTTGCATACTTGTTAATGGAGCTATACAATTTATGTTAGCTGTTGGCAAAAAGTATAATTTTGATTTCAAAAATATTTATCTATCTTCTTATTCTTTTTTTCTCTTTTATAGAGCACCACTAGAACAAATGCTTCAACGAGCAGGTGTAGGTGTTAATAATCGTGGACCACCAGTACCTGAAGGTCCTCCAGTAAATATTACAAACAATACAGGTGATAAAGGTTTTAATTTTACTCCATTACCTTAAATCCAAAAAACAACAAACGTCAAATGGATTTCTATTAATGAAAATTAATCAATAAGAAAATATTCCACTTTTCATTATTGTTTATTAGTTTCTATCACTATAGCTTTGAGTTTTATTTCTAATATCCGATTTAGTCATTATTCTACATGTATATTCATTTTATTGTCAACCTTCTTTACCTGTATAAATGGTTACCTTTTGCCTCTCACTAGTTTATCTCATTATTGTTGTTGTTTTGTACAATTGTGATTTCTTTTTTTTTTGTTTCGTTGTTGTTATTGTTGTTGTCATGCTTATTCTCGAACAAAATTTTACATAAAAGACAAACTCTAACAACGAGATTAAGCAAAAAGAAAATAAATGATTAATTTGAAATGATTATTAAGATATCAAAGAAGTACTTTAAATATCAACTTGTATTTAGATGTTGTTTATTAAATTCATAATTATGCAAAACGGATAAATAAATAAAAAATGACGAAGAAGTTTATTATAAGTGAATATTTACATTGCGATAGAATTAACAAATATCTATTTGTAATTCTATTGAAATAAAAAAATTGAATATTGAGTAATGAAATTCGAATTATACTTTCACATTGACTAAAGTTTATATAACTGATGTTCACAAGGCAGGATAACTCTGCCTTACTTCAGGAGTGCTGAAAATAGACTGCAAGTGACCATACCAACTGATACTCAGAGTTTTTTCGAATGCTAATGGTAGAAAAAATAGTATTTGTATTTCTTATTCTCGTTTTTTTTTTACCATATTAACGCAAAAAATTAACTTATGAGTTTTATATCATTTGGTTCTGCTGATGACACTTACGAGGGAACCACTCGAGGTGATACGTCGCATATGAGATAGGACCCTAGTCATTGCGTAGGACCTGTTGAAACTAGAAGGATTCTTCCGCATATGTTGCCCATTTGAAGTTATGACCATTACACTGGATTTTTCTACCTTTGGCACGGTATTTATAAAAAATCCGGAGAAACGAATTATGACCTAAAACGTTCCCTATAGAGAGCTTTTGAAGTCAATAGGACATTATAAAAACTTCAAACAAAATGAGTGATCTCTTCTCAAGATATCGCATCCACAAAAAACTATGGTCTGTTTTTATTGCACATCTGATATCTCTAGAAGAGACCACTCTTTTTTGACTGAAATTTTTCTTTAGAGATTCTATTGACTTCGGGAGTTGTTTATAGGCAACGTTTT